GTTGTGGTCCTCCAGCTGGGTCTCCTGCCTGTGTTGTGGTCCTCCAGCTGGGTCTCCTGCCAGTGTTGTGGTCCTCCAGCTGGGTCTCCTGCCTGTGTTGTGGTCCTCCAGCTGGGTCTCCAGCCAGTGTTGTGGTCCTCCAGCTGGGTCTCCTGCCTGTGTTGTGGTCCTCCAGCTGGGTCTCCTGCCTGTGTTGTGGTCCTCCAGCTGGGTCTCCTGCCTGTGTTGTGGTCCTCCAGCTGGGTCTCCTGCCAGTGTTGTTACGTGGATGGACTAGTGCTGGGGTCTGAGGATGTGTGAGATAGTTTTAAAAATGTGTGAGATAAAGTGTATGTGAAGTGTGAGATGGTGTGTATGTGTGAGATAGTTTTTAATTATGTATGGTATAGAAGTATCAAGTACAGATGTCCATTATTGCAAATACATTTATGATGAATTGCTTATAATTTTATATATTGTAACGATCAATAAAACATGTTAATAGTCATTCAGGTTAACACAAATCAGAAAATGTAATATTGTTTTATTTATTTATCATAATACATTGTTGCAAATATTTACAGAGGTTTGCAAAGCCTTTTTTTTCCGTGCATAATCATTTTCTTTTATATTTTCACTCATACGAATTTGCCATTGATTACGGGATGAATGTCTGCGCCAAGAATCAAATTGATGTACCGCTCCGTATCTAGGGGAGTCGTCACCGGATATTGTTCAGCTACATAGCAGCTGGTTTGGCAATTAACACAGCCCGATAAATGAAACACAGCTCCGTCAGTGAAGACTGCATGGTTCCTTCCAATGTTCAAGCATGGCATTGAGCTTGGAACCGGGACAAGATGTCCTACGTTCTTTATCAGTCATTTGTAACATGAACGAGTGTCACCTTGCATGGCTCTTGCTGGATTTGGTAAGGTGCTCTCCTGTAACACTTCCCACTTACCGTCTTCTTAAAAACGTCGCGCACGTTGGCCAACCTGTCCATCTTATTTTGACGTCAAAATATGATGCACTGCAAGTCATAGAGGCTGGCTAAAGTGTGATGGTCTACGTTTTCTATTCGTGGGTCTCTCGGTGAGGTATAACTAAGGTTCAGGTAATTTAGTATAAAATTGTTGTGAGGCGATAACTCGAGAGGACGGGCTGCTGCTGCTTGGCCCTGTGAATGATGCACTAAGTCATCCTTCGGTGCACACACCCATGAAGTCAGTTGCTGAATGCCATCCATAATCAGACTGAAACCACGATGCATATCGTGCCTCCACCTTCACAAAGTCCGAGGAATACATAATTGGTCTTAACCGTTTGCTGATCTAAAAGCCAGTCGGGAGATTGGTGCTGGGGTGGAGTGAAGTCTTCCGTTGTATAGAGAATAGAAACATTCCCTTCTGCTTCTTATTAGTGAGAGGATTGGCTGTCTTTTTCTTGGGGGCGAAATCTGATTTTCCATTGTCAATAGAATCCAGATATTGTTTGATTCTGTTCACAGAAATGTGATTTAGCTCTCCATCTCTTGATGTAGTGGTGGGCAGATCTCCGTCTCTTGCTACTGTGTTGAACATATCTCTCTCGCTTGGTGCTGTGTTGAACATATCTCTCTCGCTTGATGCTGTGTTGAACATATCTCTCTCGCTTGATGCTGTGTTGAACATATCTCTCTCGCTTGGTGCTGTGTTGAACATACCTATTTCTCTTGCTGCAGTGTTGAAGAGATCTCCGTCTCTTGCTGCAGTGTTATCTCTGAACATATCTCTGTCTGTTGCTCGAGAGTTTAACTCATCTCTGTGAAGATAAAATGATGGGTATTACATCTTTCATTAGAAATGTGAGTCTTGTGAATGTGAGGCACAGACGCCCAATATTTGTTTACATAAGCAAATTATATTAATTATGTGCCTTAGTAAATATGTTGGTAACTGGGGAAGTGATAATACATGGGAGTGTTAATATATGTGAGTGACCGTGGGAGTAGGTGCTGTAACCATCCCAGCTTCTGTAACTATATCGGATAATGTAACTATCCCAGCTACTGTAACTATCCCAGCTACTGTAACTATCCCAGCTACTGTAACTATCCCCCAGCTATTGCAACAGTAATTTCACCAGGGATTCGTTCGCGACTGTTGTTACTGTGCCAATATGATTGTAATACATGCCCAATACACTCACTGTATCTTATACAGTACCCGTGTATCCCCTAGTTAGTAGCATCAACAGGTTGTCAACTAACGTATTCTGGCATTTAATATGAACTTGTGTGCGTTATTTTTGTCAAAGATATTTCATTACATTGAAATGGATTACCAGTGTAATCAGACATAAGTAGATGGTCGTGATGGACACTGTTATGTATACATAGCCGGGATTTAGGCAGCTGTTGTGGGTTGCATTCTGAAGGTTAGTAATTAGTCAGTGAGGACGTCAGTGAGCCTAACGGGCTTCCCGTCCTCAGAAACAGGAAAGGAAAAACCATGATAGATTATTTACATGTTTTATCAGCAATTGTGGACTTTAGTTGTTAACGAGCTGATCAAGCAGGCTGTGATTCGCATGTCAGGCTACGAGCAGCTGCGTCCACCAGCCTGGTTGAGCAGATCACACCAGCGAGGAAGCCTGGTTAAGAGACCGGGCCGAGGGGGGAGGCAGATCCTCGGAAGAGGTCGGGAGTAATGTGGTATTAACATGGCTGGTTCAGCCAGGGCATATATGTTGTGTGTACCTTAAGAGCAGACTGTTCCCAGAGTGCCCAACTGTATCCGCACACTGAGCAGTCACGTGGTTATAATTTACTCCCAGCACCTCCCTTACAGGTTTACCCAATTGAGTTTACCGGACCGTACTCCAGTTGCTGGGCCCCGCCTTCCCTCTGTCGACCACCTTTGTTTATTTTTCACATTTGTATTTAAAGCTATGGATGGAGGTAGCCTCTATTGCTGTACAACTCTAGTTTGTTCCACTTGCTTACTGCCCATTGCGCTGAAAAAGTTCCCCCTATATTAATATGTTTATTGTTTGTGATGTGTGTCTATGTATGTATTAACACGATGTACTGAACGGGGTGAGAATAGCTTGAGCTACCTCATCCCTTTGTGTATATTTTACATCAATAAACTTATTTCAATTTCAATTTCCCCGTATATATCTGGCCTCATATATAGCTCCCATAAAAGTTCTCTAGCTACGCTATTGTATATATAGTTCATTGATACCTCCTGAAAATTTTATGTCTGGACATTCCTCCTTTATTCCGTAGCCATTACGCTCAGCCCCGTCATTATGTCCCCATACCTCAGTCCCCCTCAATTCAGGAACTAAGTTTTGTAGCAGACTTCAGGATTTTCTAAATCATCGTTTTGTTGTTAGGAGAGCACACTGGTGCTGCACACACTAGCACTGGTCACACGTATGTTGTATATTGCCTCTGGAAAGCGGAATTGTCTTGGTTGATATTACCAATTCCGTTTTATTTCTTGCTTTTTTTTTGGGGGGGGGGCGGGGGGGGTGTTCTTCACTTTAGGAGATTAGGCGGGCCGTTCCAAGCAACAGCCTGGTGGACCAAACTCTCACAAGTCAAGCCTGGCCTCAGGCCGGGCTTGGGGAGTAGAAGAACTCCCAGAACCCTATCAGATATCAAGCAGGGTATTCTCTGATAACTGAATGATTATAGTCCACCATTGTGATGATAACTGGATGATTATAGTCTACCACTATGATGACTGTGTTTCCCCTCTCCAAGTGTTGCCGTTGTGCACTTTACAACTTTGGAGTTTACATCCACTGTCACTGTTGATTTAATGACATGCTCCCCTCTGAGCTTATTGTGGCGCTGGGTCTTGTGAAGTACTTAAGATGGTCAACCTGCAGTGCCACTCTGAACATTTTGTTGAAAGTAGAGTTATCTTGAGGTTATCTTGAGATGATTTCAGGGCTTAGCGTCCCCGCGGCCCGGTTCTCGACCAGGCCTCCTTATTTGTTACTACCCCCAGGAAGCAGCCTGTAGCAGCTGTCTAACTCCCAGGTACCTATATACTGCTAAGGGAAGGCAATGAGTGTGGGAAGATAAATTATAGTCTTGGAGTCCCTTGGAAACCAGGGGCCAGATTCACGAAAGCACTTACGCAAGCACTTACGAACATGTACATCTTTTCTCAATCTTTGGCGGCTTTGTTTCCAATTATTAAACAGTTAATGAGCTCCGAAGCACCCGGAGGCTGTTTATAACAATAACAACAGTTGAATGGGAAGTCTTCATGTTTGTAAACTGTTTAATAAATGTAACCAAAGCCGTCAAAGATAGAGGAAAGATGTACACGTTCGTAAGTGCTTGCGTAAGTGCTTTCGTGAATCTGGCCCCAGGTGTACTGAAAGTGCTTATACTCTGGTTATAAATAGTACATGCATTGGTGAAAGCTTTATATTAGAAATATGTCATTGTTAGTGAGAAGTTACAGAAGCTATTGTCATTAAGTGGCAGGGGTTATTATAGGATACATGACGGTGGCATAAGGTGGAAACATCGTCACCCGGAGTGTGACGGGTATCTCGCAAAAATTGGATTGTGGGTAGCAGCTGGTGCCTTCCAGGGGGCCTGATTCACAAAGTAGTTACGCAAGTACTTACGAACCTGTACGTCTTTCCTCAATCTTTGGCGGCTTTGTTTACAATTATTAAACAGTTAATGAGCTCCGAAGCACCAGGAGGCTGTTTATAACAATAATAACAGTTGATTGGCATGTTTTGATGCTTGTAAACTGTTTAATAAATGTAACCAAAGTTGTCAAAGATTGAGGAAAGATGTACACGTTCGTAAGTACTTGCGTAACTGCTTCGGAATCTGGCCCCAGACTCATAAGTCTAATAGAACTTCAGACTGAGATATGTTTATGCCCAACCTGGTACAGTTGGCATTAAGTATTTCCGAGGCGTCCACAAACACGAATTTAATCCCACCTATTGCCAGAGCATTTGCCTAAATAAGGTAGTTAGAGTGATTAACAATGGTTATTTAATATCTTTATTACGTAGAGAGAGGATGAACATGCTCATGCAGGCGAGGAGTCACAATAACGTGGCTGAAATATGTTGACCAAACCACACTCTAGAAAGTGAAGGGACGACGACGTTTCGGTCCGTCCTGGACCATTCTCAAGTCGATTGTGACTAGAGAATGGTCCAGGACGGACCGAAACGTCGTCGTCCCTTTCACTTTCTAGAGTGTGGTCTGGTCGAACATGCTGTTGTTTCATGGGGGATGTTTCTGCAGGGTAAACTCTTGTAAAGGTGCCGCTGCTTTACCGGAAGAGATAGACCTGGGTGAAGCCTGAGGTGTCCTGGGTGTAGAAAGGCTCGTAGTTGTAGATGAGAGCAGCATCCTCCTCCTCCTCGTCTGAGAAGCTCTGGTTATTCTGGCGAGCTGTGGAGGGGGTTACTATGGTTACCAATGGAGCTTAGTGTATTAGACAGAGGGTTTTTATATTGCTATTTATTTTAGGCGAAATTATATTTCTATTATGATTGAATTTTGTAATATATATGACTTGCACTGAAATACGTCAGGAAAGAAATACTGTGTATAATTATATATATATATATATATAAACTTTATATATCGATCATACCCGATCAAGGTAGGTCTCCCCGGGCCTTCGACAGATATACTCCTGCCCCTACATCAGGCCCTGGCCATATATTAGGCATATCCCTGTCCTTATGGCAGATTTATGAAAGTATCTATGCCAGTCATACCCCCAGTCCATACGCCAGGCAGCATATCAAGGCTCCTACGCCAGGCATGTAAAACCAATAGTGTTTGCGTAGTGATGCTGAACAAATCCACAAGGGCCGTGACGAGGATTCGAACCTACGTCCGGGAGCATCCCAGAGTCGATAAAGGTAGCGTCTGGGATGCTCGTTCGAATCCTCGTCACGGCCCTTGTGGATTTGTTCATTTTAAGTGATGCTGTGATGTTATCACGAACGTAAACGACTTATAAATAATTTTTGAGATGTAGTGAAGTTATCATGAATATAATAGACCGGAATGAAACCATCAGGATAAAGTGCCAAGCTATTACGACTATATAGCACTTGGAAGGGGGTCAGGATAAGGATTTGGGATTGGGAAGGGGAGAAGGAATGGTGTCCAACCTCTTAGATGGTCGGGAATTGAACGCCGACCTGCATGAAGCGAGACCGTCGCTCTACCGTCCAGTCATTTATAACAAACTGATAAATGATCTTTATGGTTAGAGCTACTTCAGACCTGCAAATATTAACACATTTCCTTCATTTTATTAGATTCGTGAGTTACAGATGTACAGGCTAATGTAACGACTGTATGGTACAGGTCTGCGTCACTGTATATAATAGTCATGCCAGGAAACGATTCGAAATTAGACTGTTACGTGGCGTTATTGTTAAGGTGGACTGAGTTCAGCTCCCTACTGAAAACTGGATAGATGTAGTGTGTGTGTGTACTCACCTAATTGTCACCTAATTGTGCTTGCGGGGGTTGAGCTTTGGCTCTTTGGTCCCGCCTCTCAACTGTCAATCAACTGGTGTACAGATTCCTGAGCCTACTGGGCTCTATCATACCTACATTTGAAACTGTGTATGGAGTCAGCCTCCACCACATCACTTCCTAGTGCATTCCATTTATTAACTACTCTGACACTGAAAAAATTCTTTCTAACGTCTCTGTGGCTCATCTGGGTACTAAGTTTCCACCTGTGTCCCCTTGTTCGTGTCCCACCCGTGCTGAAGAGTTTGTCTTTGTCCACCCTGTCAATTCCCCTGAGAATTTGTAGGTGGTTATCATGTCTCCCCTTACTCTTCTGTTTTCCAGGGATGTGAGGTTCAGCTCCTTTAGCCTTTCCTCGTAGCTCAATCCTCTCAGTTCCGGGACGAGCCTGGTGGCATACCGCTGAATCTTCTCTAACTTTGTCTTGTGTTTAACTAGGTATGGACTCCAGGCTGGAGCTGCATACTCCAGGATTGGTCTTACATAAGTGGTATACAGGGTTCTGAAAGATTCCTTACACAAGTTTCTGAAGGCAGTTCTTATGTTGGCCAGTCTAGCATATGCCGCTGATGACATTCTTTTGATGTGGGCCTCTGGGGACAGGTTCGGTGTGATATCAACCCCCAGATCCTTCTCTCTATTTGATTCTTGCAGGATTTCCCCTCCCAGATGATACCTTGTGTTCAGCCTCCTGCTCCCTTCGCCTAATTTCATCACCTTACACTTTCCAGAGTTGAACTTCAGCAGCCATTTTCTAGACCATTCCTCCAGTTTATCCAGGTCATCCTGTAGTCTCTGTCTATCTTCATCCGTCTTGATTCTTCTCATAATTTTTGCATCATCAGCAAACATCGAGAGGAATGAGTCTATACCCTCTGGAAGATCGTTCACATATATTAGAAACAGGATGGGTCCAAGTACTGAGCCCTGTGGGACTCCGCTGGTGACATCTCGCCACTCTGATGTCTTCCCCCTCACCGTTACTCGCTGTTTCCTGTTGCTTAAGTACTCCCTTATCCACTGGAGCACCTTCCCTTTTACTCCTGCCTGTTGCTCCAACTTTTTTAACAGCCTTTTATGGGGTACTGTGTCGAAGGCTTTTTGGCAATCCAGGAAAATGCAGTCGGCCCACCCTTCTCTTTCCTGCCTAATTTTCGTTGCCTGGTCATAAAATTCTATTAACCCTGTGAGGCACGATTTACCATCTCTGAACCCATGTTGGTGGTGCGTTACAAAGTTATTTCCCTCCAGATGCTCTACGAGCCTTTTCCTCACGATCTTCTCCAGCACCTTGCATGGTATACAAGTTAAGGAAACTGGCCTGTAATTCAGTGCCTCTTGCCTGTCACCCTTTTTGTATATTGGGACCACGTTAGCTGTCTTCCAACTTTCTGGTAAGTCTCCTGTTTCCAGTGACCTGTTATACACCATAGAGAGTGGCACACTTAGTGCTTCTGCACCTTCCTTTAGTATCCATGGTGAGATTCTATCTCACCTGTGTGTGTGTGTGTGTGTGTGTGTGTGTGTGTGTGTGTGTGTGTGTGTGTGTGTGTGTGTGTGTGTGTGTGTGTGTGTGTGTGTGGGAAGCAATCCTCTGGTGGTTAGTGTTCACCACAGCCGGCTGGTGGGTGTTCACCACAGCCAGCTGGTGGGTGTTCACCACAGCCAGCTGGTGGGTGTTCACCACAGCCAGCTGGTAGGTGTTCACCACAGCCAGCTGGTGGGTGTTCACCACAGCCAGCTGGTGAGTGTTCACCACAGCCGGCTGGTGGGTGTTCACCACAGACAGCTGGTGGGTGTTCACCACAGCCAGCTGGTGGGTGTTCACCACAGCCGGCTGGTGAGTGTTCACCACAGCCGGCTGGTGGGTGTTCACCACAGCCAGCTGGTGGGTGTTCACCACAGCCAGCTGGTGGGTGTTCACCACAGCCAGCTGGTGGGTGTTCACCACAGCCGGCTGGTGGGTGTTCACCACAGCCGGCTGGTGGGTGTTCACCACAGCCAGCTGGTGGGTGTTCACCACAGCCAGCTGGTGGGTGTTTACCACAGCCGGCTGGTGGGTGTTCACCACAGCCAGCTGGTGGGTGTTCACCACAGCCAGCTGGTGGGTGTTCACCACAGCCAGCTGGTGAGTGTTCACCACAGCCAGCTGGTGGGTGTTCACCACAGCCAGCTGGTGGGTGTTCACCACAGCCAGCTGGTGAGTGTTCACCACAGCCGGCTGGTGGGTGTTCACCACAGCCAGCTGGTGAGTGTTCACCACAGCCAGCTGGTGAGTGTTCACCACAGCCGGCTGGTGGGTGTTCACCACAGCCGGCTGGTGGGTGTTCACCACAGCCGGCTGGTTTGTGTTCACCACAGCCAGCTGGCCTCACACGTTAGAGGTACACCCTTCTCTATCATCCAACTTTGGCAAGACCAATGAAACCAGTTAGTTTGATTAATAAGTTATTAATTAATAATTGTAATACCTCGTGAAAATCTGAAAGGCAATAATTGTCATTTGTAACTTCAGAATGCTATCTTCAGTGCCTCTTGCTGTGTTGAAGTTATCATCCAGCAACTGGGGGAAGAGAGAGAGAGAGAGAGAGACTCACACTCTCTCTCTCTCTCTCTCTCTCTCTCTCTCTCTCTCTCTCTCTCTCTCTCTCTCTCTCTCTCTCTTCAGTTACGAGGTAACTGGGAGAGATACCCCTCCGGAAAATGGCTTGCACCAAGTTTGGAACCAAACCGCTTCCTCTATGGGTATTGATCCCAAGATGCTTGCATTGCTAGGTCAGTACCATAAAAGTTTTAGTGAATGAAATTGAAAAGTTCGAGGATTATTTTCGCTAATGAAGACATAAAAGCTTACCGGGCCATAAGAGTCAATTTTTTCCCCAAGAAGTTTTCAAAATTACCTTGACTGACGAAGAAGTTGGCGAAGGACTGAGCAATCTCTATGGCTTCTGGTGAGTGAGGAATGTTATTATGGCTCTTGTCGTTCTTCCACTCGAAGGGGTTCTTCTCCGGGTGGAACTGGGAGGCGAAGATGGGAAGGTCTCGGTGCTCCAGCAAGGCCACATACTCCAGGCCGTTGTAGTCATTGCTCGTGGCTAGCATCTTAAACTCATCTGACAAACCCGACTTGCTGAAATTCTGCAATGATAGTTAATATCTGCATATTCCCGTGATTCATAACACTGTGGTGTGTGTTGAATCATATACACTTATAAACACATGTAAGTAACCTGTAACCGAGGTTACAGAAGTTAAGAATATACAAGATCCTGTTGTAATTGTAAATTACACATTTATATGGCCAGAGCCACTGTGTGGTTGCAACAAATAAGGTACTTGTAAATGGGTTGTTCTTGTTGAAGTTATCTCTAAGCCCTGGAAAGTTGAATAAAGCTGATAATTGGTGTAGCATATCTGATTGTACAATGAGAATCATTCTTACCTATGCCTCGAGTATTATCTTATGGTTACCATCACTATAGTTGGACAACCTTAAAATCCACGAAGACACTCACGAAGACAATGGCCGGGTGTGAAAGATAGCACACAACGATATTCCCTTCAGCTACACGGTCTTAGTTGCTGATCTAGACCAGCCAAGACAAGCCTGGCAGCAGGCCGGGCTTAAGGAGTGGAAGCACTCTCAGATTCCACTCCATGTATATGTGACCATCTCGCGGGTCATCCCGCCAAACACACCGAAACTACGACGTTGGTACAACGTTCGAGCAAGTTTTAACACCTAACCAGTTATAACAACCAATTTAGCAAGTTGTAACAACGTTTTAATACGTCATAAACACGTTAAGCCAAGATGTAACAATTTTATTACAAGTTGTAACGAGCGGAAAATAGAGACAGTTTCGGTTTGTGTTTCCAGGGATATCAAATCCAAGAGCTTGAAGGTCTTTATATAATAGAAACGGGAGGTTGTGTGGCCACGGTAAAGACGCAAGACTTACTTGTGGAGTGAGACACCAGTGGTGGAAGTTGGCCGTCACGTTGAGGGTCCTGAGGGCGGTGACGCTGTCCTCCGGCATCTGGCTAAAGATCCTCGAGTCAAGGTAACCTGTAGCAGGTGTAATTGGAAACAAATATATACATAAAATTATTGGATGTAATGCTAAACACATAAGTAGGAGTCATGTCTGCTGGCCTGTTGGCCCATCTAGAGACAACCCCCAAATTTCCCATATATCTATCCAGTCTGTTTTTAAGGCTGGCTATACCATTTGCTTAAATAATGTTGGCTCGTAACCTATTCCACTTGTATACTATCTTCCTGCCAAGCCACTACATCCCAAGATCCTCCCCAAATCGAAACATTGCCACCTTATGCAGGCGATGAGTCACACTAACGTGGCTAAAGTATGTTGACCAGACCACACGCTAGAAGGTGAAGGGACGACGACGTTTCGGTCCGTCCAGGACCATTCTCAAATCGATTGTAGAATGGTCCAGGACGGACCGTCTTGGACCATTCAACCATACGTCCGGACCGTCCGACCATACAATCGACTTGAGAATGGTCCAGGACGGACCGAAACGTCGTCGTCCCTTCACCTTCTAGTGTGTGGTCTGGTCAACATTGCCACCTTATATTCATTGTGACGGGTTCTGCCCTGGTCTGATAGTTTCCAGACCATCCTCTCGTTTCTCCCCCTTTACATACCTTCATCATGTCTCCCCTCGCCTTGATTTGATCGTGTCTTCCTCTGCCCTATACCTCTCCAGGGAATAGAGGCCGAGCTCTCTAAACCCCGCCTTGTATGGGTGCTCCAGACCGGTTATCAGTCTGGTCTGGTTATCAGTCTATGATGGGTGTAACTGAGGCACGATCTTTGTGGTTTTATGGCTGTCACTACTGGTTATAAACCCAAACATTCTGTCGTTATGTTCTGCACATTCATTCGTTGCTGTGATGTCAAAGTGGCTTATTATTCAATCATTTATCGAGGGACTAACAACTGAAAAGATCAGTGGGAAACCGAATTTCTAAGTATCCAGGTTTTCGGGACATTTTACGAGCATGTTAGCGACTGCTAGCGTAGCAAGGTGTAGGTATCTGTAGCGTCAATGAGGTCAGTGTAGGTAGCGTGAATGAGGTCAGTGTAGGTAGCGTCAATGAGGTCAGTGTAGGTAGCGTCAATGAGGTCAATGTAGGTAGCGTCAATGAGGTCAGTGTAGGTAGCGTCAATGAGGTCAGTGTAGGTAGCGTCAATGAGGTCAGTGTAGGTAGCGTCAATGAGGTCAGTGTAGGTAGCGTCAATGAGGTCAGTGTAGGTAGCATCAATGAGGTCAGTGTAGGTAGCGTCAATGAGGTCAGTGTAGGTAGCGTCAATGAGGTCAGTGTAGGTAGCGTCAATGAGGTCAGTGTAGGTAGCGTCAATGAGGTCAGTGTAGGTAGCGTCAATGAGGTCAGTGTAGGTAGCGTCAATGAGTTAATCTTGTAAAGCCAGTAGGTAGATGAGCCACACAAGTCTGCTACTAACCATTTCAGTGACAGGAGGAAGGTCACGAGGATCAGTCACACTGGACAGTACGTAATTATCTATTCATAGTAGCTAGCCATCTATCACTTCAGCCGGTGTGAATACAGTTGTTAATGTCGCAATAGTAATCTCCTTGAAATATTTATGAACATGAAAATGAACACACTATAGCTTATATTGAAAACATATAGCAGATAATATATATATAATAAACATATATTATATAGCAGAAAACAACCGTTTTCTGTCGTATTCGGACCAAATATAGTAATAATAACCGTGTGTAACAGTGGTGAACCTAGCAACACCAAAGCTGTTATCTTGAGGTTATCTTGAGATGATTTCGGGGCTTAGTGTCCCCGCGGCCCGGTCCTCGACCAGGCCTCCACCCCCAGGAAGCAGCCTGTGACAGCTGACTAACTCCCAGGTACCTATTTACTGCTAGGTAACAGGGGCATCAGGGAGGAAGAAACTCTGCCCGTTGTCTCTCGCCGGTGCCCAGGATCGAACCCGGGACCACAGGATCACGCGTCCAGTGTTCTGTCTGCTCAGCCACCGGCTCCCCCTATATGTTTCAACACTGTCCCCACATTTACACAATACAATCCCTGATGTGGACCATCTAATTTTTTATTTTTTTCTCGGAAAAGCTCACTCCCACTAGCAAGAAGTTAACGATAGGGAGAAGGCTTAAAACTGACGGTAATTATACCCCGCTGGTAGATGTTTATACAGGTTTGTAATTGTTATCTAGCAGATAATCTGTCCATTCAGTTAGAATGCCAGCATGAATTCCTGCCGATCATGAAAATCCTCAGAACATTTCCATTGTGAATGTTGTTATTGCATAGTTTATTCCTGTTACTAAGCTACAACATGTCTGGGGTGTGCGTGAGAAGCTCAGCGACGCGAGTTCGATCCCATTTTACAGCCTTGGTATTAAGTCAACAACATACTTTCCCTGCTGGTTGCTAGGTCAGTATCCAGAGATTCATCAAACTTTTATGCAACAATATATGAAACTTGTACATCTTTCTTTATCATGACGACTGGCTTTTTTTTTTAATTTATTAAAAAAATTTACGAGCTTCAAAATTTCACAACCCATATTATTGTTATAAACAACTTCGTAGTACTTCGGAGCTTATGAACTGTTTAGTAAATAAATCTAAGCAAACCGGCCATGATTGAGGAAAGATGTACATATTTCGCAAAGGTGGTACAAATCCTTGATAAATCCTTATCCTAACATGTTAATATACACAATTTTTTTTATATCTTGAGTTATATTATTCAAAACTAGTTGAAGCGGCCATGAATACTAAATTAATGATGTATTAAGAAAGGTGATACTACACACAGAAATCACAATAGCGTGATGCATCAAATGAACAAATCCACAAGATTTATTCCATATCGTAGCTCAGTTGATTAAGGCAGCGTCTGGGATGATCTCGAACGTAACAAATCCACAAGGGCCGTGATGAGGACTCGAACCTGCGTCCGAGAGCATCCCAGACGCTGCCTTAATCGACTGAGCTATTTTGTTCATTTGCTGCATCACTTAGCACATGCAGGCGATGAGTCACAATAACGTGGCTAAAGTATGATGACCAGACCACACACTAGAAGGTGAAGGGACGACGACGTTTGGGTCCGTCCTGGACCATTCTCAAGTCGATTGTCTTTGACAATCGACTTTAGAATGGTCCAGGACGGACCGAAACGTCGGCGTCCCTTCACATTCTAGTGTGTGGTCTGGTCATCACGCAAATGTGATTTCTGTGTGTAATCTCGAACGTAGGTTCGAATCCTCGTCAGGGCCCTTGTGGATTGGTTCAAAGGTGATACTAGTCAGATTAGCGCTTCGTACCGTCTTGCAAGTCGAGGGAGTCGGCCTTGTTGCTGGCATCGCACGCGGCCAGCCACTTGGTGTTGCTGGCCGCCAAGTAGGTGACCATCTCGAAGCCCAGACAAGTGCCCCACAGCGGCAGGTAGACTCCCTTCCCGTTGGCCTTCACCACCTTCACAAGCCAGAGTGTGCAGTTAGTTCCAAATTGTAGCAGAAATGTATTTTGGATGAGTGCACATGTGTTAGTCTTATGGTATGCCAGCACAACACATGTCTGTATGTTGTACAGGGATGTGCTGGTATATACATGTATGTCGTTATTATATGTTGTATATACGTGTGTGTGTGTGTGTGTGTGTGTGTGTGTGTGTGTGTGTGTGTGTGTGTGTACTCACCTATATGTACTCACCTATATGTGCTTGCAGGATCGAGCATTGACTCTTGGATCCCGCCTTTCTAGCTATCGGTTGTTTACAGCAATGACTCCTGTCCCATTTCCCTATCATACCTAGTTTTAAAAGTATGAATAGTATTTGCTTCCACAACCTGTTCCCCAAGTGCATTCCATTTTTCTACTAATCTCACGCTAAAAGAAAACTTCCTAACATCTCTGTGACTCATCTGAGTTTCCAGTTTCCACCCATGTCCCCTCGTTCTGTTATTATTACGTGTGAACATTTGATCTATTTCCACTTTGTCAATTCCCCTGAGTATTTTATATGTCCCTATCATATCTCCTCTCTCCCTTCTTTTCTCTAGTTTCTGTGTGAAAAGTTTCTCTAGTTTCTAGAGAAAAGTTTTCTCTAGAAACTCTAGAAAAAAGTTTTCTCTAGTTTCTGTGTGTGTCTGTGTGTGTGTGTGTGTTCACCTAGTTGTGCTTGCGGGGGTTCAGCTCTGCTCTTTCGGCCCGCTTCTCAACTGTCAATCAACTGTTACTAACTACTATTTTTTCCCCACATCACACACACCCCAGGAAGCAGCCCGTGACAGCTGACAAACTCTCAGGTACTTAATTATTGCTAGGTAACAGGAACAGCAGGGGCGAAAGAAACTCTGCCCATTGTTTCTCGCCGGCGCTTGGAATCGAACCCGGGACCAGAGCAGGATCACGCGTCCAGCGTACTGTCCGCTCGGCCACCGGCTCCCCCCGGGCTGTGTGTGTGTGTCCCCAGACTGAGTGTATGTGAGGGAGTGTGTGTATGTGTGGTTGGTGTACTGAAGGTAGGAGACTTACCAGATCATAGAGGATCCTGCCCGCGGCGCCGTAGCCGCTGGAGGGCGTGATAGACACAGCGCCTCCCGGGAAGAGTATCCTGGGGAGAGACACAGAGGTCAGCAGGGGCTTCCTGCACACAGGGAAGGCAATCTTCTGCGCCCGCTGATAGAATACACTTGGGAGTGGTGGGGAAATGGCTCCCGCTCTCACACCAGTCTACGAAATTGCTCTTTTATTCATTTTGGTTTTTATAATATAAAGATGAATTGGGACGGTAATTTTTAGTGATAAGTGCTGCTTTCATTTACTTAAAAAGGGAATAAAGAGCATAATAAAATCCCAATAGTGTAATAGATCTACGAGTTTTTTTTTTCAGCAGCTGTCTGCTATGATTCGTGTCGAGAGTTCGATTCCATCGCATTGCCCCAAAAGGTTTTATTGTGAAAAATAGTTTTTAAGTTAATATAAGATCACGGGAATAAAATAATTTCATGCATAGTATTATCATGTCTTAATGGTATTGAAACTTGGAGCCGAATGATGGAAAATGATCATCATTATTACTTTCAGTATTGTCATATGTTCATGGATTACATTGTACTAATACTAGGTATTAAGAGCTGTGGCTCAGGGGTGGGAATTTGAATTTTGCCGCCAGAGGCGTTTAGTGGATTGCCTACCCCGTGCTCACCCTGTGAGCGGTAGCGCAAAAATGGATTACAGTGGGCACAAAATGTCTTACTCCGACCTCAGCGGAGATTTTGACGTTATCATTTGCGTCAAGCCGGCACTCCTTATAATTATATTGTCAGTTACAAACGTGTTGTTGCATTACAACATTCATGCATTTATAATGAATGATTATACATTTAAAGGTAGATGAGACTTACCCATTGAGAGAAGTAGCCAGGTTATCATAGTATTCATCATCCTGGTGGATACTGTAACGGATAACCGATAACAAATGTGATAATTTCATTAACCATTTCATCATTATATTTTATAAAACAACATTTTGTATTACTAGAAGTTCATTTATCTCGGTCATTAAAGTATTTTTATCATGAGTTTAGTGAGGGAGGAGGAGGAGGTGTGGGAGGACCTACAGGATGGGGACGACTCTGGCTCCGGCGCTCTCTAGGTGCTTGACGTAGGATGCGGCGATGTACGAGCTGTAGTTCTTGTCTTCCAGCCCCGCCAAGATGCTGTCTGGGGGATGCTGGGAGAGCACTCCTGTGGGATGATGATGATGTTATAGATTCGGCTACTCGGAACAAGTTCCAAGTAGCATGGGGTATGGTGAGCCCGTAACTTACCTGGCACAGGAGCGGGGCAAGTAGCACGGGCTATGGCGAGCCCGTAACTTACCTGGCACAGGAGCGGGGCAAGTAGCACGGGCTATGGTGAGCCCGTAACTTACCTGGCACAGGAGCGGGGCAAGTAGCACCGGCTATGGTGAGCCCGTAACTTACCTGGCACAGGAGCGGGGCAAGTAGCACGGGCTATGGTGAGCCCGTGGTGGACTTACCTGGCACAGGAGCGGTGAAAAAAAAAGAGGCTTGTGGGATGCAAGATGTTTACTTATTAGAGGCTATAGAGAAGTGAAGTGTAGGTCTTTGTGCCCAGTCTACACATGATATTAATACTATTAATGGATTATTAATTAATTATCTATTAATACACCTGGTATTGTTAATGTACCAGGTCTTATGTTAATTCACGTAGTCTTCTGTTAATACACCTGGTATAGAGAAACTCCGTAGGAGCCGTGATGACGTTCGAACCTATGCGGTGGGTGTTCCCCCACGCACACGCCCTAGTCAACTAGGCCATGACATAGGTTCGAACCCTCATCACGGCTCTTACGGATTTTCTCATTGACACATCACCATAATGTGATTACTCTCTGTACACCTGATATTGCTCACACACACCTGGTCGTCTGCTGATACACGTAATCTTCTGTTGATACCTTGGTCTTCTTTGATACACGTGGGCTTTTTTTTTTAGATACACTTGGTCCCCTGCTATCAGCGGCACGTGAGAACTCTCAGACTATTCACACCTGTCACTAAACCTGTTCCCAAGCTTTATCTCTCCTTGTGGGGGGAGTTGGTGGGGGCTCAGCGCCATCCCTCCTTAGATAACGCTTCACTTATATCAAAATCCTAGCTAGGTTTCATCAAGCATTCACGCACTTACGAAACCAGTACATCGTTCTTGGATCATTGGGGCTTTGTTTACATTTTTTTTAAATAGTATATGAGCTCGGAAGCACTACGAGGTTGTTTACATCAATAATAACTTTGGGTTGTGAGGTTTGCAAGATCGGAAACTGTTTAATATAAACAAAATTTTCATTACGGAAAGATGTACAGGTTTCGTAAGTGGTTGCGCAAATACTTGATGAATCCTGGCCATGGTGCTTTTCAACAATTGATATTTGTTTTATTAAGCACGTTCATATTAAGAGTAATATGAGCACTTAATAGTAACTCTAAACCAACTTATTAGTTCATGGTTTCATAAGTTTTCTCTCGAAACTCAATATAGTCAAGAATATTTTTGCCTCCAATGGCCTCTTAAACATTGAACACGTTGTACTTCCTGGAATATATGATCCTCGCCCAGAGGCAGTAGAGGGAAAAACTGGCAACTTATATTAAGTTTCTGTCAAGGGAGCCGGTCGGCCGAGCGGACAGCACGCTGCACTTGTGGTCTCGGGTTCGATCCCGGGCGCCGGCGAGAAACAATGGGCAGAGTTTCTTTCACCCTATGCCCCTGTTACTGGCAAAAACTGGGAAAAACTGGCAAATTATATTAAGTTTCTGTCAAGGGAGCCGGTCGGCCGAGCGGACAGCACGCTGCACTTGTGGTCCCGGGTTCGATCCCGGGCGCCGGCGAGAAACAATGGGCAGAGTTTCTTTCACCCTATGCCCCTGTTACCTAGCAGTAAGATAGGTACCTGGGTGTTAGTCAGCTGTCACGGGCTGCTTCCTGGGGGTGGAGGCCTGGTCGAGGACCGGGCCGCGGGGACACTAAAGCCCCGAAATCATCTCAAGATAGCTCAAGATAGATAGCATTTAAAGTAGACCTGCACGACCAGTCCCGAATCCCAGAGGAGGAGAATTCAATTTCAGTAATAAACAGATAAACTGGGAGGAAATAAACCAAGACCTCACAGAAATAATTCACACACTAGAAAATGAAGGGGCGACGACGTTTCGGTCCGTCCTGGACCATTTTCAAGTCGATTCACAATCGACTTAAGAATGGTCCAGGACGGACCGAAACGTCGTAGTCCCTTCATTTTCTAGTGTGTGGATTGGTCAACATACTTCAGCCACGTTATTGTGACTCATCGCCTGCTCACAGAAATAAGCTGGGAAGAACAGCTAAAAAATACAAACCCTATTACAGTGCCTGGAAAAAATAAACTCAGTAGCACTAGAAATATACTCAAACCGCATACCCCTACGAAAAATAAAGAGGAAGAGATGCAGATTGGAACGTGAACGGCGTTCAAGTTCTACACATAAGGGGCATAACTGGCCGACCCCTCGCAGTGTTCAAGGGAGAACTGAATAAACACCCCTAAAGGATACCTAATCAACCAGGCTATGACTCGTACGTCAGGCTACGAACAGCCGCGTCCAACAGCCTGCTTGACCAGTGCGAGGACCGGGCCGCGGGGACACTAAGCCCTGAAATCATCGCAAGGTAACCACAAGATTTACTTGACAACAGGACTTTTTGTGTTATAAATTTAACATACAATATAAACAATAACAATAACTACAAAATTCGATTCACTATTCGCAACTTTAAAATTTATTAATTAAACTAATGTAATTGAAAAGTCAGTAATGCAGTTGCAAAAATAAAGGAAATGTATAAAATCCAGACGAATCCATTTTACCGAAAGGACCGTCCAAGATTTACATTACTTGCCCGAAACGCTGTGCGTTTTAGTGGCTTTAGGCATTACTAGAAATCCAACATTATGTTTGTAACTTATCTTGTATATATGTACTTTTACCTGAATAAACATTTGATTTGACCTTACCTATGATAGGTCTGAGGGAATAGTCATACTGGGCGTCGACCAACAGGAGAGCCGCCACCAGGAGACCAGCGGAGATAAACGCGCGTATCCACACCATCCTGACTCTCACACAACACTGCCTTAACTCTCTCTGTATTACCCTCGCCTCACTCCACGCGGTTGCCTGCTCTCCTTTTCCCACGACAATAACAAAGTAATCATTTCAACGGTAAACCCTTTTGGAAGCCAATTAACTCGAACATTCCTTATTCATAATACTAGAGCACCATGGAAACGAAAAACATACCATCGTATTGTAAAGCTTCAGTGAATGATCAAAAATAAAAATACATGAGAGATAACAGGCATATGAGCCGGGTAGCCATGGTAGCCTCCCAGACTTGGCCGCCATTGACAAGTCACTGTCAAGGCTGCTGCGTATGGTGAGTCACGACCATGTGACTATCTTCATAATCCTTTGCTAGTATTTAGTGGCTTGCTAAATCAACGGACAGTATCGTTTTCTATTTGTGGGTCCATCGGTTAGGTTAGGTTCAGGCCATTTAATGCACCATTTTTGTGGCGTTGTGACAGCTCGAGAGGGTGAGTAATCTCATTGTTTGATGGTCTTGACTGGAGACAGTTAAGCGAGTCGAAGCTGTGTCTGGATACATTTTTGTGTTACCAAACTTAGTTACACACATCACTGTGTTGCTTCCCTATTATACACGATGGCTGATCCCCATCTTACATGATGGTTATAATCATAGTATCAGGAGAATACTTAAGATGCGAGTCTTGTCTACTAGTTGTCTACTAGCCTGCACTAACAAACTCTGGGTACAGTGCACAAAAATATATATATATATATATATATATATATATATATATATATATATATATATATATATATATATATATATATATATGTGTGTGTGTGTGTGTGTGTTCCAATTTTAATGTGTGTGTGTGTGTTCCAATTTTAATGTGTGTGTGTGTGTTCCAATTTTAATGTGTGTGTGTGTGTGTGTGTTCTAATTTTCGTGACTGTATGAATAGTTACAGAACTCAAATCATCTCCTTCCATTTGGTCTGAGGTCATTACTCACAGGGATACTCACAAATATATATACTCGTGGGGAGTGTGTTTTAGCTCTTGTTCACAAGATTTGCTCTTGGAATGTTCTTCATTGGGGGGGGGGGGGTCATTACCTGCAGCCACCTGCCATAGTATCGATATTCCAGCCTAATTCTGACAATTGCCCTCTCACTCTGTCTCATGGCCATACATAGCGTTATCGGTTCTAAACATCATAACTCTATACTCGTAGCTCCGTCGATTAAAGCAGCGTCTGAAATCCTCTCGCACGTAGGTTCGAACCCTCGTCACGGCCCTTGTGGATTTATTCAGCCCTACTTTTATTCGTGTAGCTCCTTGTGATGTTCCTATTTCCATGATGGTCGTTCGGTTTGTTTTCTTAATATCTCTCTGGGTCGCATGTCCCTCGATAGAATCCGTGGTGAATCCGGTACCTTCCATGTCGTTCGTCTAATATAATATTTAGGTGATATTTAGCACCTTTTGGAATATCCTGCGATACAGATAGTGATCTTAGAAGTGGGGAGGAAAGATGCAGGGACGTATTTATGTTGTTTTAGAGAGGTGCTCACTATGGCAAGATAACAGCGAGATGTTCACTATAGCCAGACAACAGCGAGGTGTTCATTATTGCCAGATAATAGCTATTAACTTGTGTCAACATTCGCTTGTTGTTGTTCTATGTATCCAACTCTCACCTCGTGTTGCTCCATCTGAGAGAGAGAGAGAGAGAGAGAGAGAGAGAGAGAGAGAGAGAGAGAGAGAGAGAGAGAGAGAGAGAGAGAGAGAGAGAGAGAGAGAGAGAGACTGATTGGCTGAGTGACTGACTGGCTGAGTGATTGAGTGACTTACTGACTTACTGACTGACTGACTGACTGACTGACTGACAGACAGACAGACAGACAGACAGACAGACAGACAGACAGACAGACAGACAGACAGACAGACAGACTGACTGACTGACTGACTGACTGGGACTTCTACTACCCACTGAGACCTGTGGCAGTAGAAGCTCTCTGACGGTGCTGGGTGTGAGTGTCTCGGTAGTCTTCACTAGCGACGGTGTCGGGGAAAAGCAATTTTCTTGAGAAAACATGGTGCCACGTGAGCTTGTTTCACTGATGAAATGAGTTTTGCCAAGACGATGAAAGACACAAGTAAAGCAATCACAGTTAGTAGATTGTATTGTGTATTGTGTACTGTAGGAGGGTGGTGTATTGTGTACTGTAGGAGGGTGGTGTATTGTGTACTGTAGGAGGGTGGTGTATTGTGTACTGTAGGAGGAGGGTGGTGTATTGTGTACTGTAGGAGGGTGGTGTATTGTGTACTGTAGGAGGAGGGTGGTGTATTGTGTACTGTAGGGTACTGTAGGAGGGTGGTGTATTGCGTAATGTAGGAGGGGGGTGTATTGTGTACTTCATGTGTGTGTAGTGTATTGTGCATATGCTATACTATACACCTAAATACACCTAATATACACCTATAGTAAAACACGGTGTATTGTGTAAGGCCACATCGCTGCCTTTAGGCAGTGATGTGGTGGAGGCAGACTCCATACACAGTTTCAAATGTAGGTTTGATAGTGCCCAATAGGCTCCAGAATTTATACACCAATTGATTGACAGTTGTTTGGCGGGACCAAAGAGCCAAAGCTCAACCCCCCCGGAAGCACAACTAGGTGCGTACCTCAATTACTGGAACCTATGCAGGCGATGAGTCACAATAACGTGGCTAAATTATGTTGACCAGACCACACACTAGAAGGTGAAGGGACGACGACGTTTCGGTCCGTCCTCTTCACCTTCCGAAACGTCGTCGTCCCTTCACCTTCTAGTGTGTGGTCTGGTCAATATTGGAACCTACTTTAAGCTCAACATGGACATTTTGCAACGAAGAAGTATCACGTGATATATACATGGAAGTTTCTGGAAGGTCCGGTTCTGAATGTACTCTCTGAACCACCTTACCAGAGGGAGATTGAAGGAAGGAAACTATTAGGAGAAAGGACCAAACCATTAGGACTATATAGCACTTAGAAGGGAGGTAAGGACAAGGATTAGGGATGTGACGGGGGGGGGGGGAAGGAATGGTGCCCAACCACTTAGACGGTCGGGGATTGAACGCCGACCTGCATGAAGAATAGACCAATGGAGAGTTAGAGTTGCCAGAGGAACAGAAACAACGACTCCTAACAGAGGGAATAAGACTGGTCCACACGGATGAAGTTATCGCCGCCAAATCCGGACTGAGGGGGTGTGTCACTCTCGATAACGGACTGGTAATACAGGTAGGGGCAGGGTGGAAGAGTGAGGACAGGAGGGTTGGCAGCCAGGAAGGGAGAACATAAGAACATAAGAACATAGTAGTAGTAGTAGTAGGCATCCACCAGTCTCAGGAGACTATGGAATTGCGCTCTGGTTGTCGGTCTGGAGTGGCCTCACCAGGGCGCAAAGCCAGGGTAGGTTGATTCGGGGGGAGAAGCTGTTACCCAGGCAGCAGGTCCCCCTCTCCACGGCGCTGAACATAAGAACAAGGTAACTGCAGAAGGCCTATTGGCCCATACGAGGCAGCTCCTATTTATAACCACCCAATCCCGCTCATATACATGTCCAACCCACGTTTGAAACTATCGAGGGACCCCACCTCCACCACGTTACGCGGTAATTGGTTCCACAAATCAACAACCCTGTTACAGAACCAGTATTTACCCAAGTCTTTCCTTCCGGAGGGAAGCGGGAAGAGGGAGCCAGGGAGAACATAAGAACATAAGAACAAAGGTAACTGCAGAAGGCCTATTGGCCCATACGAGGCAGCTCCTATTCTATAACCACCCAATCCCACTCATATACTTGTCCAACCCGTGCTTGAAACAATCGAGGGACCCCACCTCCACAATGTTACGCGGCAATTGGTTCCACAAATCAACAACCCTGTTACTGAACCAGTATTTACCCAAGTCTTTCCTAAATCTAAACTTATCCAATTTATATCCATTGTTTCGTGTTCTGTCCTGTGTTGATACTTTTAATACCCTATTAATATCCCCCCGGTTATGTCCATTCATCCACTTGTAAACCTCTATCATGTCACCCCTAACTCTTCGCCTTTCCAGTGAATGCAACTTAAGCTTTGTTAATCTTTCTTCATATGAAAGATTTCTAATTTGGGGAATTAACTTAGTCATCCTACGCTGGACACGTTCAAGTGAATTTATATCCATTCTATAATATGGCGACCAAAACTGAACTGCATAATCTAAATGGGGTCTAACTAGAGCAAGATATAGCTTGAGAACCACACCAGGTGTCTTGTTACTAACGCTGCGATTAATAAATCCAAGTGTCCGATTTGCCTTATTACGAACATTTATGCATTGATCCTTTTGTTTTAAATTCTTACTAATCATAACTCCCAGATCCCTTTCGCAATCCGACTTCGCAATCACAACACCATCTAGCTCGTATCTTGTAACTCTATCATCATTACCTAACCTCAGAACTTTACATTTATCAGCATTAAACTGCATCTGCCAATCCTTTGACCATTTCAAAACCCTATCTAGATCAACTTGAAGTGATAGTGAGTCCTCCTCCGAATTAATTTCCCTACCGATTTTCGTATCATCGGCAAATTTGCAAATGTTGCTACTCAAACCTGAATCTAAATCATTTATATATATTATAAACAACAGAGGTCCCAGGACAGAGCCTTGAGGCACTCCACTTACAACATTTTCCCACTCTGACTTGATTCCATTTATACTAACTCTCTGTTTCCTTTGGTATAGCCATGCCCTAATCCAGCTTAATATAGCACCCCCAATACCATGAGACTCTATTTTTTTAATCAGTCTTTCATGTGGCACTGTATCAAAAGCTTTGCTAAAGTCAAGGTATACAACATCGCAATCCTTACCACTATCAACTGCCTCAACAATGCTAGAATAAAAAGATAACAAATTTGTTAAACATGAACGGCCATTTATAAAACCATGTTGCGACTCAATTATTAATTTATGTTTTTCAAGATGAAGACGAATTTTATTTGCTATTATAGATTCGAGTAACTTTCCCACAATAG